AAGGTCAGTGGTGTAGAGGAGATTCTAAATCCCTTCCCCCTCTGATGGTTATCATTCATAGTTGTCCAATTTTCATGAGTGGATGGAGTAAGGAATACTTCATTCAAAATGCATAATTATGTAGTTGTAATTTCTCACTCATATGTAGGCCAGTAACAATTGCAAAAGCTGTACTTCTTCTGTGGCTAATGGTAATTTCACTACCATTAGCTAAATATGCAATAGTAGTTTTACATGTCACTGTTTATAATACAGGGAGTTCAGTCGCTTGCTGGATAGACTGCTTAAAAAAAGAGGGTATACATTAAGAATATACCCACTTCTCTAGGTACCACTACACTACTGCACAAGGTTCTTATGCAATGGAAATGTTGTTCACTACTCCAGTAAATAGGACAAACCTTAGATATAATTTGGCAACAGGAGATATTTTTATAGTCCGTTCAGCTCCTAAGCACTTTGGCTCAGCTATGAGCCAGAAAGCTAACATTACACTAGCAACTCAAAGTCAATAACAATAGTAAACATAATTTTGACAATATGTTTATAGCTAGCTATCCAGCCATGCCATTGTCCCAAAATCAACATTTTCACCAACGAATGATAGGCCACGTGTAACTTACTGTCGGCCCCAGCCTTGAAACAGTGAGTTGAACGGTAAATGGAATGTGAGTTTATTTAAAGTGTCGGTAAGTTCAGAAGGGCAGTTTACTTCTTGCAACTTGTTTATTGTTTGGGACTGCCTTCTTTTCTTTTTTTGTTAAAGATGGTAGAGAGTACTATCTACCAAAATCTTCCAAAGGTATTCAGTTGGGTTGAGATCTGGGGACTGTGAAGACCACAGCATATAATTCACATTATATTCTATACACACCATTGTTCATTTCCATATATCTGTACAGAAGCATCTCTTTTCATTATAATTCTTATTTCCTTTAATTAGTCACCCATCTGTACTTGAAATTACTATCTGGTTATACATTCAGTATTTGTTCAAATTAATCTATATGAGAAAAAAACAGAATGTGATTGAAAAATACAATCATATCCGGGGAGTTATTGAGCAGGTTTAAGGACACAACAGCAACAGATGACTGAGCTATAACAATAAAAAACCCAATAAGATTCAAGAGAATTAATTTAGTAATACTGTTTAACCCTAACCCTAACCCTTCCCCAGGCCAAAAAGGAAACATCACACTGAAAATAAATATAAATAAATATGAGTTATCTGTAGTACTGTAATATGGTAGTTCTAACAAGTAAATATTACAGTTCTGTTACTGGAGCAGCAGTGATGTAAGTCGTTATATAATTTATTTTGTGCTTAGTACTATGCAGAGTTGTTTATCTGTGCTATGAGCCCCTCTGGTGGTGATAAACAATTAGAGCAGTTCATTAATGTGGAGAACAGGATGGAAGTAGCCCCAACACTTACACTGAGTGAAATATTCAAACCTTTTATGGCTGTACCGTTCCATACAATGAACATATTATTGTCTTATGCAACATTTTAACATGCAATGCTTCTTGTTGCACCAGAAGGCAGGGGTTTGGGAAGTGGATTAAAATGATTATGGTTTATGATTAAGTTTTATCTGTATCTCTGTATTTTAGGAAAAAGCAAATAAACACAGCTTAAGCCACTTAATATTTAATATAACAAACACGGCAGACATTCTTAATGGCTCTCACTAAACTCCATATGCCTTCTCCTCCGCCTTGTCAGAGCAAGTGAACTGAATGCAGCCATATTCTTCATCAAATAGAGCACTGATACTGTCAGGAGTGAGTAGGTGACTTTGATTTGATAGCAGAGTGGTGGTCTTCAGTTGGGTTTCTACAGATTGGTTTGTTTCATATCACCTTCATCTGTCTCCACACCCTTGTCATAACCCCAGCTCTCGTCATCCTCTCTGCAACACAAGAAAATAAGCAGGCAGGTTAGTTATTTACTTTTCACCTATTTTAACTCCAGTAAAATATCTTTAAAAAATCATGCATATTTAATTGGCTTCCTTTTTGACAAATCCAGTGTTTTCTCCTTCCTGATGTCATTGTTCTATTAACATCTACTGTTAAAAAAATTGGGTACTGAAATTTCAGATCAGGTCAAGTCAGAGTTTACCTACTGCATCATTACAGGAGTTATTCACTTGACATTGAAGTGAGATAACTTTCAGTGTTTTTCATATCAAAATTTAAATATTGATATAAAGTACAAGTAAAAAGTATGAAGGAAGAGCTATATAGTAGGCTAAATCAGTGTTGGGCAGTAAGGCATTACTAGCAATTATATTACAGTAATAATATTACTTTTCCGAGTAACTAGTATTATAACAAATTACTAATACATTTCAGTAGTAATATTACAGTTACCACCTACAAATTAAGTAGTTACAACCTGTGTAACATTTCCATGGTGTACTGGTCAGCACTCTGGACTCTGAATCCAGCGATCAGAGTTCTTTGAATTTCTCCTACAGGGGATCGATAAAGGAACATCTTATTTTATCTTATCTTTCTTTTTTTGTCACCCTCCTACTAATTTGAAATCCAACACTCCAATTACATCCTTGGATTCATTTTTCTAATTGTGGAGGAAACTAGCTTAGAAGATAGAAATGCTTACATTAAGCAAATGGAAATAGTCTGACACGCAGCAAAAGGCCACAGGTCGGAGTCGATACCATGACTGCTGCAGCAAGGACTCAGGCCTGGTACATGGGACACCGGCTCTACCAGGTGAGCCTCAAAAAGTTATTTAATTTTAAGGTATAATTCTTAGAAAACAAAATTAAATGACTAAACTCTTGTAGGTATTTGAGTTTACTAAGAATCTACCAGACTGTGACACTCACTGTTCACAATAAAACACTTTGAGCAACTTGTTGGATGTGTGCAGTCAGCAGCAACGGTTGCCTGGAGAGTTGACCAACCTACGAGCCAAAACAATGAGTGCAGTTTGTGTTTTGAGATGCTGACAGTTCATTCTGACGTTTTTTTTTACTCCGCCTCTTCTTTCATGTGTCCCTCAGGGCCATAAACAAACCAAACTCGGCACAGTGCTGATCTCTGCTGTTCTCAGCCAGCTGACACTGAGCTTCACCATGGAAACCGTAAAATGCAGAGTGGAGCGGCGGTTCAGCGTCGACTCGGGGGAGACAGAGCACTGTAACGATCTGTGACAACAGCAAAACTGTGGAGGAAGGAGTTTTGAGATTCAGCCTTTGGTGTTTTACTGTGTGACTGGTTGCAGACGGGACAGAGACACACATCGAGGTCTGTCTCTAGATACTGCAGCTCAAAGCTTGTGTTCTCTTTGAGATCATTTTAGGTTAATCTGTTGTTTGTTTAATTGTTATTTATTCTTTATTTGTCAGTGAATTGTCACAAAGTAAAAGATGCCTCTTACAACTTCAATCAATGGTAACTTCTTCAAATGTCTTGTTTGTTTAACCAAAAGTCCCAACCCAATTCAGTTAATCCAATTATTTATGGATCCTGTTTTACCCCCAACACTTCCATATTGTTTTTCTTGTGTTTCTTTTTGTGTCTCCTTATACTCATCCTATTCCTCTCTTCATCTACACGCCTTCCTGTCTTCCCGGGGTCGTGGTGTCCGTCGCGGCGTCTCCTGTAAAAGCAGAGAGCATCCTTCCAGCTCTGACTAATTGCTTCGGCCTCTTCAGAGACCATTACACAGCCCGTATGGTCCGTCAGAGGGCTGAGCTCCATTATTCTGTTAATGTTCAGAGGTTTACGGCCTCTGCAGGAACACACACACTCTTCAGCTTCTTCTGCCAAACAAGCTCCTCCATTAACAAGCTCCTGGGAGAGTTTGAGATTTTTTGTTCACAGCCGATCGAAGCTTCAGACTGTCTGCAGGATCTTTTCTTATACCTCGTCCGGATGGCCTTTCACATGTCCCTGAAGACTTTATACGACAGATCAGAATTTTTAATCTGGGATGAGTCTTTAAGATCAGATCTGTCTGTGAAACTACTGCCCAAAAAAATCAAGTGATGAATCTCATGTGGACATTTGCAACTAGGTCTCACCCCAAAGTCGTCAAATACTGCCTCTTGGACTTCCCCTTCAAACTATGTGACATCTGGAGGTGCCTGCCGTCAAAGTCCACTCAGGGAGGAGGCGGGCTGGATGGATGTCTCCAACAAACACAGGACTCAGGAGACCACTGTGTGAAACCAGAAGTCAACTATTCCTTTGCTATTACCTAATTTATGACCTTTTCCTAAACCTAACCATGTCATTTCTGTGGCTAATCTGTTAACCACGAAAACTTTATTTTTAAAGTGTAACCGGATGGTACATATTGACGATGTAGACTGACCAGAACAGCGCAAGAGTTGGGAATCATTTAGGGAAACAGAACCCAAATGGAGACAGACCCTTTCCTGTGTGTTTGTTTGCAGCAGTGCTGTAGAACTCAAGTCCATTCTCAGGCCTAAAAACATCTTTTCCATTTACTTGTACTCATTGGTATTTGCACTCAGACTAGGTAATTGATCTCTCCAAATATTCTAGGTGGTCTCAACAAAGTCCAGCAAGTAACGTCCTCCATCAAAACAAAACCACTGCTGAAGGACGCTTGTACAGAAACAGAACCCAAATAGTGAACATAATAACTAATAAGGAAGTTTGTGTAAAAAAC